CAACCAAGTCCCGCACTTGTTTTCTACCCCATCCCCAGGTCCCATATTCGCCCCGATCTGAGGCCTTTTGGATTCATCCGGAGAGGTTCTTGGCTCTTAAAGCCATGCCCGACATCAAATATCCTGGTAGCCATAGCTCTAATTTACAGTAATGGGATGTATGGTATTTCAGCTGTAACTTCTATTCACGGGCCTGTATTAATTTTTAATACAGTTATGAAAGAACCGCACACTCGCGCAGATTTATTTCGAACCGCGGCTGATTTCCATTTCCTAAAATCGTGTTTTGCAGACGGCCCTTAAAGAGATTTAAGTTCGTGCAATCTTATAAATAGCTCAGCTGTCCCACAACCCCAAAAAAAAAAAGCAATATCCGCAAAAATCTAAAGCCCAAGAGCCCCAGAGTTTACTTCCCCAAGTGGCTGCGCGCAGTGTCTTGACAGATTGACTCGGCATTCATTTGTGCCTGAACTCTGGGTGAACCTCGGCTCTGGGAAGAGGGGCATCAGCATGCCTTTGCTTTCGGGGCCGAAACCGTGTGTGCAAACCCAACACCCAGAGCAAATATTGGATCTTTGGCCCCTCTCGGTGAGGGGAAACGAGGCGGCCAGCATCTGGACCAGGGAGAGACCCGGTCATCAGACCCCGGAAAAATCTAGAAACGTTTCCCCCGGACCCGAGTCGTCCGAATCCAAATAGAAATTTGAGTGACAAATCAAGGCTGGGACCTGGCTTCCTGCAGTTTGTTGTCATGTTTAGAGCCCCTGGAGGTATTTCGGGGTGAAAAGGTCACTGGGAACCACCCCATGTGTGGTGAAAGATTCCTCTTGTCACATTATGCAAGGGGACAGTGGCGGGTTATTTATGGAGGTGGAAAATTTAGATTTTTAATCACAATATATATAAATAACACACTCAAAGGGAGACAAAGTACCCTTAAAAATACCTAAAAGGGAAATATCAGCTTTTGACAAGCACAACAAATTACGATTTTTTTCAGATTTTTATAAACTTTATTAAGCTAAATTATCTGAACACTTGTTGGAAAATACCCTGTAAATAAATAGTGCAAACAGTTACATCTGAGGAGCTGCCTCAACACCAAACACTTATCATTAAAAGACAGATACAAGAACGGATGGAAAGACTTCTTCAAAAGTTTTTTCTCAACATCCTGATTCAGAAGTCTTTGCACGTGAGCAGACACAGACGTTACCCTGAAACCTTCACAAGACCACGAGCAATATCCACCGTTTTCCAGTCACTTTTTAGGAGTCACAGCTTTTCTTTTTCAGTTTTTGGAGAGGATTGGGAGCTGGGGAGTTTCTCCACCAGCGCGCAGCCCAGCTTCTCCCTCTTCTTCTGCTTCATCCTGCGGTTCTGGAACCAGATCTTCACCTGGGTCTCGTTCAGCTCCAGGCTGGCCGCCACCTCCACGCGCCGCGCGCGCGTGAGGTACTTGTTGAAGTGGAACTCCTTCTCCAGCTCCGTCAGCTGCTTGGTGGTGAAGTTGGTGCGGATCACGTTGTGCTGGCCCGGAACCCCGAACTCCGACTGGACCGCTGCAGGGGGGAGAAACGGAGGAATGGATGGTGGAGTCATGGAGCTGAGGTATGAGTGTTAAAGTATGCGTGGGGGGGGGGGGGGGGGGGGGAATGTGAAAGCGAACGGGGAAAACATTAGTGCGCAGATATTTGCTAGGAACAAACGTAAACCCTTGTTATTGTCACCTGACCGGTTTTACGCACGTTTTACTGGCCTCGCGGGGTCAATAAACGGGGACTTAATGTCTTTCTTTCGATTTATATCCTCATCAACAAACCTGTTTTGGGGGGATTCCTCTTGACTCTCATCCAGTCGAAGGTTTTCGAGGCTTCGTCCGGGTCCCGGTCCCGGTCCCGGTCCTGGTCCTTGCACTGGGCCGGTATCCGCGCGTAAAGGCTCTCCGCGTACTCCGGCTGCCTCTGGTCCCCGTAGTGCAGGTACTGGCCTCCCGTGGCCACTCCGGGCGCGCACCCCTCCCCCGCGTACGGGCCCACGCCGGTCCCGAGCGGCGAGAGCTGCGCGTGGACCTGGCCGTAGCTCCGGTCCCGGTCCTGGTCCGGGGCCAGGCCGTACTGGTGGTGTCCGTACTCCAGGGGCGAGCCGTACACCGGGTTCCCGGGAACCGGGAACTGCAGGTCCACGCCGACGTGGGCCTGGTGGTGCAGGGGCAGGCTGCCGGGGGCCTGGTGGGCCGCGGGGGCCGTGGGGGCCGCGTAACCGTCACCTGTTGCGCAAGAGCCGCCGGACGACATGTATCCATGGTTCAAACTGGGGTATCCGGCTTTGGCACCGAAAAGATTCGCTCCCCGGTTGCACACAGGATAATCTAAGTAGGAGTTCATCCTGAACCCGGGCCTGGGGTTTGTTGACCACTGACGAGGAGCGAGTGGTCATTAATCGGTGCTCCCCTTCGCCCCTAACCTTAGGTAAGCACGTCAAAGCCGTAAAACTGCCCTCCACGCTCATATCGCCTTCCTGACACACCACGTGACCCACCTAACGCCAATGGCAAGCGACCTCCAGCACTCTGTCAAGTCTGCTGGGCTCGTCCATCAAACGCCGCGCATTTCCATGACAAACGCTTCAATCAAACTGCCTCATCCATCTGATGGGAACGCAAACATCAGGAGACATGTGCGCAAATAACAAATATCCAAACGACACATTACCGGCGAATCAAACGGATGAAATATATCGAGATTTATCAGGAAACCTGGCTCAGTCTGAGTGGGTTTCATTTTTAGGTCATTTTTTGGGGGTTTTCGCTCGAGTTTTTCTCTCCATGTTGAAACTGGGACGTTATGAGAGCAGAAAGGCCTTCAACTCCAAATATCACCCTCGTCCAAAGGTCCAATAATCGGCTTTTTCTTGAAGTATTTGCTCGTTCTTCGGACGCCTGAGCACAAGCTCCGAACCAGACAATGTTCAGCCATCCATCACGCCTCTTTTTTTAAAGGCTGACAGCTTGTTTTGGGCCATTTTGCCCATAAAAGAACAAAGACGTTTTAAGAGCCAGAGAGCCCCCCCTTTCCCTGCTTGTAAATTATCAACCTGACACTATAACGTCAAATCTTCCACAAGCCTTCAACGTCCACACTCATCTAAACGCGCCCCATAATTAAGAAAGAGTTAATGTGATGTAATGGGTCTCAAGTGGTCGTTAAGCCTAAACTGGGGGAAAAAAGAAGAAAGATTCGCCTTGTCCTGCTTCATGGTGTTATTTTAACTCTGTCTGATGAGATCAAAGCTCGTTTTAATTCAGGTTTTCTAAACTGGGTCGTTTTTCAACTTTGAGAGTCGAAGCCAGACAGATTTTACACTTCAGATAAAAACAAACCAGACTTAACAGTATTTAGATTTAGCTATCAATAAATACAGTGGGGGAAATAAGTATTAGACCCCTTGCTGATTTTGCAGGTTTGCCCACTTACAAAGAATGCTTATTTTTCCTCATCAGATGGTTATCAATTTTTATCAATTCATATGATGTGATTTTCTGTAAATTTTCTTTGTGATTCACTGTTAAAATGTACATATGATTAAAGTTATAGATCGTTGTATTCTTTGTAAGTGGGCAAACCTGCAAAATCAGCAAGGGGTCAAATACTTATTTCCCCCATGGGGGAAATAAGTATTTGACCCCCTGTAGATAAATAAATAAATAAATAAATAGATAAATAAATAGCATGCAGGGGGACATTCTGCCTTTTCTTTGCTACAGATGAGTCAGTTTGGGAGCTTGCATGATTCTGTCCTGGGGAGAGCAGCTCTGGGAGAAATACTGCCCATCATACAGGGGGCCGTGCGTAAAGTCCTGGGCCGGGAACGGAGCTCCGTATTCCGGCTGGGCCCCGCCCAGGTGGAGGTAGCCCAGGCTGGCCAGGGTGGGGCTGCCCGGGGCCGAGGGGGAGGACGGGGGGGAAGGGGGGGGGGGGGGGGGAGGAGGCGGCCCGGGCCCTCTGGTCCTTTTTCTGCTTCATCCTCCGGTTCTGGAACCAGATCTTGATCTGTCGCTCGTTGAGGTTGAGCAGGCCGGCCATCTCCTCCCGCCGCGGCCGGAGCAGGTAGCGGCTGAAGTGGAACTCCTTCTCCAGCTCCACCAGTTGCGCGCTCGTGTACGCCGTGCGCGTGCGCGTGCGCTTCGAGGCCGGGGGCGCGCCCGAGCACTTCTCGCTGCAGTCTGCACGGACAAACGTGGAGAAAAAGGGGGTGTCGAGCAGATAAATGACGGGTCTGGATGTCAGGTTTACGCTTTTTTTGGTGATTCTGCGCGTTAATAAGAGCCAAAACCAAGAAATAACTGTTGG